TCTTTCTTTCTTTCTTTCTTTCTTTCTTTCTTTCTTTCTTTCTTTCTCTCTCTCTTTCTTTCTTGATACCCAACATCAGAAAGGGTGAAATTGATCATAGCAACCATGGCCCACATGGAGCCCTGACAACACCTAGCACATTTCAAGGTGTGCTTAGCACACTGCCTGGCACACAGTAGGTGCTTAATAAATACCTACTGATTGATTGCGTAGACATGATTTCAAAAAATTTTAATGAAGTTTAAAAATTTTAATGAAGGCAAAATAATGTACAAAAACAAAACAGGGCACCACAGTGAATAGAGTGCTGGGCCTTCAGTCAGGAAGAACTGAGTTCAAATCCACTCTCAGACTCACTAGATGAATACGTAACCCTAAGCAAGTCACTTAACTTCTGAGGGCTCTAGGCAACTCTCTAAAACCACAAACTGCAGAAGAGTGCCAACTTGCATTAGAAGAGGGATATTCCTCACTTGGGAGTTCCGCATATCAAAGAAATCACTGGCCCAGTCCCTATAATTATGATTGTGGTGGTGTAGGGTTATCCAAAAGGCAATCTTTTGATGGCCAGATATACAAAGTCCCAAATCATTCTGTCCAGTAGAATGGACACTCTGATATAAATCAATCTTTTCACCAGCCTCTTAACTGAAATTACAGTTTAACTTCAGATTAAGCAAGGACTGAAGTTCCTATCTTCATCAGAACAGCTCAGAGGAGGTACACGAACAATCCCACCAGGCTGAAATGACCGGTGGGGAAACCCTTCTGAGGCCACTCAGAAATAAAAGTCCCCAACATGCCGTGTGGCCCTACTGGAATTTGAAGTCTGTACTTCTCAGGAATAAAGGTAAGAGATCTGTTTACTGCTTTGCAAGCAAGGATTATTTATGTCCCCTCAACTGCCCCAATTCTAAGAATACTTTCACATTACTGTGCCTTCTGATACCCTTGACCAATGACACATTTGGAGTTAAAGCCTTGCTGGAAACAGGCAACGTTAGGACCTGACTGGCCTGCACAAGCAGCAAGCTTTGTTACCAACAGACAGTTTCATACTTCATAGCAAGCAAGAAGTATGTCACAACCGAGTTATCTTTTTTTCCAAGTCATATATCTTAAAAAATAATTTTATTTTTCATTTTTATGTAGTTGAAAGTTCTCGAGAACTTTAGCAGTTAATGCCAAAAGCTTCCTCAAATCAGAAAATCTGACGCTGTTTAGTTGTGACACACCTGGTGTGGTGGGCAATAACGTGAAAGAGAGCTGGAGTCAGGAAGACTTGACATCAGGTCCCGCCTCGGCCAAATGCTGGCTGGGTGACACTTAACCCATTGGTGCCCCAGACAAATCTCTGTAATCCCAAGTTACCTAGACTTTGTCAAACAGGATAGGGGAGAGGACATGGAACCCCCAGGGTTCCCTGGACCGAGGAGATCATGGGTCTGGACCATACCTGGTGTATTTTATTCAACTGCAAAAATGCAGGGGTGATGGATGGGTTCACCAGATGAGGCAAACTGGCAGGGGCTCCGAGAACTGCTGGAAGAAAAAAGGAAATTTCAATTCCACGAAACGCCAGAAAGTCTCACAAGACACGAAGCAAAAAGGGTCACAGGAATGACAAAGAATGGTGTGTCCTCACAATTTAGCAGTGGAAGGGGCTTTAGAGATAAGGCCATCCCCTTCATTTTACAAATAAAAAAACTGAGGCCCAAAGAAGTTAAACGACTTGCCCAAGGTCACCCTGCTGGTGTCAGAGGTGGAGTCTTCCTTACTTGGTTTAGATCGTTGTAGCTGGAAAGAGCCAGTGACCAACTAGTCCAACTCTCCTAGCTTATAGAAGAAGAAGGTGGGGTCCATAGAGGTAAAGGGGCCTCTCCCAAAGTCACAAAGCAAGTACATGGCAGGACACGGATGGAACAATCAATGGAACAGGAGCAGAATTTGATTTGCTTATCATTAAAACCACAGGCCAGCTGAAGGGTAGAGTAGCCAGTGGTGCAGTGGGTGGAGTGCCTGGCCTGGAGTTAGGAAGACCTGAGTTCAAATCCAGCCTCAGACACTTACTAACTGTGTGACCCTGGGCAAGTCACTTAACCCTGTTTGCCTCCGTTTTCTCATCTGTAAAATGAGCTGGAAAAGGAAATGGCAAACCACTCCAGTATCTCAGCTAAGAAAACCCCAAAAGGAATCATGAAGAGTCAGAAACATTTGAAACAACTGAACAACAAAAAGTTGAAGCATTCGAAATGTGGATGATGAGCAGAGAAAATGCAGGGGCACAAAGGTCTGGCACCCTCCAGCTGACAGAAGTGAGGATGTTCAGCCTGGAGAGAAAAATAATGTGGTAGAGTGGGGGCAGTATTATAACTATCTCCAGCCATCTGGAATCCTGCCATGAGGAAAAGAGACGAGTTGCTTTCTGCCTTGCCCCAGAGGCAGAACCAGGGCTGGAAGAGGCAGATTTCAGTTTGAAATAAGGAAACACTTTAGCAGGGGCTGGTCAGGAGCCAATGAGGCCTCCAGCACTGGTGGCTGGATGGAGAGGCTAGACCTGTTGGGGATTTTGAAGAAGAGAATTGCTGTTCAAGTATGGGCTGGAGAAGCTGCACAATGCATTAGAAACGGCATCTGGAGTCAGGAAGACCTGGGTTCAAATCCTACCTCGGACACTGACTAGCTGGGTGGCCTTAGGCAAGTCCCAGTCTCCCTGGGCCTCAAGTTTTCTCATCTATAAAACAACAGGATTGGATGGAATGACTTCGAATACCCTTCTGGCTCTAAATCTATGATGCTATGACCTTTGAGGTTCCTTTCAATTTGGAGATGCTATGATCCTGCACCCTGACCTCCCGAAGCCCTAAACTCGATTCAGTGCAATCCAACAAACTTGAAGGACCTACTGTGTGCTGATCACCATTTGAAAACACAGAGGAAATTCCAAAGTTAAATGGCCCTAGAGACACAGAGCTTACGATTTAAGAGAGGGACCTAACACAGACAAAAACACGTATAATACAAAATGACCTGTAAGGGTATTAGCGATAAGGGGCAAAGAGAGAGGGTTGAGGTGTGGAGCTGGGGTCTTGGGAAAGCTTTCTTGGAGGAAGAAGCGCAGAAGCTAACCTTTACAGAATGACTCCAGAGGGGAGGAAAGCATCCCGGGTACAGGGCCTGGCCTGGCACAGAGGAGGGAAGGCAGGGCATCCAGTTTGACTGGAGCATAGAGAACATGGAGAGAAGTGATGAGACAAAACTGGACCAGTGAGGAGGCACACATCTGGCGGACGGGGCGAGGGGTGACTTTGATTAAGGAAGCAAAGGGAAGCCGCGAAAAGATTCTGAACCACCACGCAACATAGCCAGCGGTGGCTCTTCAGCTGAGCAAAGCATTCGGGAGAAAGGACAGAGAGAGTTGAACTTCCTTGGCAAGGAGCCGCTGCCAGGCCACGTGTAGCCAGACACCATAAAGACTCCATGCCTGAGGCCCCCCAGCACTGCCCTCCTTTCATAGGTGCAGAAACTCAGGCCTGCAGATTTTGCCTCTGGGTCCCACAGAGGGTAAAATACAGAGCTGGGATTCGATCCCAGTTCCTCTGACTCCAAATCAGGGCTCATATTACTACCCCACACTGCTTCCACATCAATACATCCTTTCACATCCATTCTTTGACTCCTCATGTATCTCTACAACAATTTTAATGTAGACAAGGTGCTGTGAAAGATACCGAGATCTGAATCGACCCCTATACCCATGGAAATGGCATAAATACCTGGAGGATCAGAGCCCTGCTAGCCAGAAGGGACCACAGAGTCAACTAGTCCAATCCCTTTATTTTACAGATGGGGAAACTGAAGCCCCGGCCAAAGCAATGCTTTAGAAAAATTAAGCTTTAGGAAGGTCAGTGTGTAATAGATTAGCACTGGAAATCTATCAAGAAAGTTACTGCCAGAGTCCTCAAGAAGAATAAGCAATGGCTAAACCTTGGTGCTGATAGAAGGACCGAAGAGAAGAGAGAAGACCCTCTGCATGTAGACAGGATTGAACTTAGCAAGGCTAATGGCTGGATCTGAGGAGTGCAGGGATCACTCCTGGTTTTCCAGCCTGAGGAACAGCGGTGGAGCCAGTAACAGAAATGGGGAGATGTAGGGAGAAGTAGGGTGGGGGCAGAAGACGAGTTCAGTTCTGCCCATTTCAATTCTAATTGTGAGCTGGGTGTCCAGATGTGGCTGGAAAGGCAGGACTGGGGCTGACCCTGGCCAGGCCCCAATGGCTGCTCACTCCCAGAGGTCAGGGACAACTTAACTCCCTCTGCAGCAGTAAAAAGCAAAGGAATGAGTGAGTGTGAGAGTGTGTGAGTGCGTGTTTGTGTGTGTGTGTGTGTGAAAATGTGTGTGAGTGTGTGTGAGAATATGTGTGTATAAATGTGTGTGTGTGTGTGTGTGTGTGTGTGTGTGTGTGTAAGTGGGGAGTCCAGAGAGTCAGCATGTCAGAATTTGGGACAGTTGTCCCAGGATTAGCTATATCCTAAAATAAACATTCTTAGAAAGGAAGCATACAGAAAGACACTGAAAAGCCATTACACAAAATCACTGTATTTTAAAGAATAACCTATTTGGAAGATATCTGTTATTTTAAGCTTCAGCCACATGCAAAGGTAAGCCATCATAGCAGGCTCCAGGGAACCCAGCCAAGTGGAGAGGCTTAGAATGGCAAATGGGGGAAGGCAGACTTGCCAAGGCTGAGGAAATGGGTTCCTCCCACTACCCTCTCCCTTCCTTTCACTCTCTTCCTACACCTGTCTCCTTTCACTTAATAACATTTAACAAATGCTGTTCATTCATTTGTTCACTTATTCATTCATATACTACCTCCTACATGAAGCCTTTCCTGATTTCCCCAGATGCAAGTGCCTCTTGCTTCTGAAAGTTACCTTTTTTCTACACCCACCCACACACACTCACAAGAACATCTCTTTACCCACAACTCCCTGGAGCCTCCAACCCTGCTTCTCACACCATTCATAGCTCCCTTCCTTCTCCTTACCCTTAGTGATGCAAAATTATGTTCTTCAAAGTGCTCAGTCCTGCTACCATTCCACAAGCACCCGGGAGCCAAAGGGAGCTCCTGATCTACTACCCATCTAGTGGAGTAGATGAAGGGAGAGGGAATTCCTATTCCCTCCACAGCGAGGGAGGTGTGTTCCTAGCATCCAGAGCTAGAACCTACACATGCATTTTCCTCTAGGAACACTATTGCACTTGGTGGCTCACTTAGAGAGCATCGGTGACACAGATTTTACTTGAGCTGCATAAGGGGTTAAACAGCATTTGAGAGTCAGCCTGGGAACCTGCATCCGCACTCTCTATAACAATGACTAAAGAGGAAAGTGCATTCCACGTTCCAGACAACTGACTTAACATACAAACTTTTGGAACAGATAGTTCCTTAGCTGCCGACTAGCCATCTATGAAGACAATGATGTGTTTACTAAAAGACTGAATAGTGTTGTTAGAAAGCAATGCTGCCTTGATTGTTTTTGACAGAATGTCTTTTTATGAAAGTAAAGAAAGAGGAAACAGACCTGTAACTTCACAAAGAAAAGGCGTAGCCAAACTATGACCTTTGCTAAAGTAAATGAGTAATGCTGTTCTGTTAATCATTATCAGCTGTATAAACGAATACCATCTCAAGAATTATCTTTATGGTATGATACTTACTGAATGCAAAAAAGACTCCACCTCCACACTATAGGAAGTGCACCCCAGTTTGGACCCCTCCAAAGCATCCTGGCACCATCTCGCCCATCGGTTCAGAGAACCGACTCAGATTAAGAAGAAAAAAAAAAGACTGCGGAAGCAAGGGAGGGGGAAAAAGATATATGGCATTGGCCTATAAGGAAAATGTTGAGTGTTAAAGGTCAGAATGAGCAGAAGTTGCTGAAGAAAGCAGCAAAAGAGGAAGATCAAAGAAGGGATAGGATCATTGCTCATTATGGAGGGGACAATGATAACCAGTGGCTGTCTAATTCTGATCTTCTCTGCCAAGGAGAATGATCTTGGAAAAGGAAGGAATGGAACAAAATTCAAAGAATGAGTGAATGAGTGAATTAAAAAAATCATTAAGCACTTACTAAGTGTCAAGAATTGTACCAATCACTGGGGAATGCAAGTGCAAAAGTGAAATACATAGCCCCTGCCCTCAAGGAGCTTCCATTTGAATAGGGGAAGATAACACAAATATGGGAGTTAGAGTTGGAAATGAGGTGGGGTGTCAGAGGGTTGCTGATGGCCCTGTGCAAGACAAGGTGTAAGCTAGGCACTGATAGCCACTCCCTTCCCCCTAAAGGAAGGAGATAAAAAAGCATCAAGCCGCCCTTCAGAAGTTTGTATCAGTATCAGATCAACTACAAACTCAACGGCTGAAAGCAGTGGCAAGTGTGATGGCTGAGCCACTAGGAGCATGCAGAACAGGAGGGAGCAAAGCAGGGGTGGGGAACCTGTGACCCTGAGGCCACTCACAGCCTTCTAGGTCCTTGGGTGCCGCCTTTTGACTGAGTGCAAGTTTTACAGAGCAAATTGTCTCATTAAGGGGATTTGTTCCGTGAAGTTTGAACTCAGTCGAAGGGCTAGAACTAGAGTACATGTGGCCTCGAGGCCGCAGGTTTCTTACCCTTGTACCAAAGGACTTAGAAAAGAGCAAACACCTTCATTATCAAAAATAGGAAGGGAATGCAGGCTTCCCACTGGAGGCCATTGATCTTGACTTCAATTCTTGCCCAAAAGCTAGACTGTATTACTAAAAGGACGGTCAGTGGTCACTTGGAAAAGGAAGCAATGACTATGAAAAGCCAACATGACTTCACTGTGAATAGGTGAATCTAGACTAACCTCATTTTCTTTTTTAATGGGATTATTAAGCTGGTAGGTAAAGGGGATGCTATGGTTTATCTACATTTTAGCAAAGCATTCAACAAAAGTCTCTCATGTTGTTGGGGAAAAAATATGGGCTGAATGATCATACAATTAGGTTGATTAGAACGGAATGAATAGATGCGTCCAAAGAGGAGTCACAAACAGTCCCGGGATCATCTTGGAAAGAGTACCTGATGTAGCGCCCTCAGGCATCTGGACTTGGCCTGATGTGCTTGATAAGTTCATCACAGTCTTGGATACAGGCATTGACAGCACATGTAACAAACACACAAATGACCCAAAACTGGGAGGGAGAGCTAACAACACCCTGTACACGGAGTCAGAACCCAAAGAGATCCCAACAGGTTAAAGCACCATGCTTAATCCATTAAGCTAAAATTTGACAACCATGAAGTCTTACACTTGAGTTCTAAAACCCAATACATAAATATAAGATTGGGGAGGCCTCACCAGACATCCATCACCTGAAAAAGATCTGGATTTCTTAATGAACTTCAAGCTCAACCACCATTTTAAGAAAAAGCACAGCCTCCCACTTGGACTCACCAGACTGCTCCTCCTGCTTCCTTCTTTGCCTTCCTTTCACACTCCTGCCATCCCCCACTTTCCTGGTCCCTTTAAGTGTTGTCTTCCTTCATTAGAATGTAAGCTTCTTGAAGGCAGGGAGCATCTTGCTTCCTAGTATTTGTATCCCCAGTGATTAACACAATGCCTGGCACATGGTAAACATTTAATAATGCTATGTATCATTTAATAAATCTATGTATCTATGTGCATATTTATTATCCACCTGAGTCAGTATTTATGCTACTGTAGCAAAAAGTGCTTAATAAAAGGATTTGTTCTGTAAAACTTGGACTCAGTCAAAAGGCTGCACCCAAGGACCTAGAAGGCCACATGTGGCCTCGAGGCCACAGGTTCCCTACTCCTGGTATGCCATATGAGAATCAGCGGAAGGAGTTGGAGGATGTTTAGCCTGGTGAGAAGAATAGTTAAAGAGGGCAGAATCGTAACAGTATTCAAAGGGACAGCATGTGGAAGAAGGATTAGGCTTCCTCTGCTTAGCCTCAGAGGGCCAAAGATCAGTGGACAGAAGGCATAATTAGGCTTTATGTCTGGAAAGACTCCTTAACAACTAGAATGGTCCAAAAATGGAATGAGATGCCATGAGAGAGGGAGGGGAATGGCTCTTCCTCAAGGGTGGTCTTCAAGCAAAGGTGGAAAGACAACTTGCTGAATATTCTGTAGAGAAGATTCTGGATGGTCACTGAGGTCCCTTCCAACTCAGAATTTTGAGATTCTGTGTGATTCTCTAATCTTAGGGTTTTCTGATGTTCAATGTTGTTTTAAACATAGGGTTACAAATGTGTTTTTCTCATCAGAATACCAAAGTTCACATTAAATTCTGAATTTGAAATACATGTTGTTTTAACAGCTATGCCCACCTGGCTTACCAGCATGTCCATGTAACTGTGGTTGCAGTAAAATCTGCAACATGGCGGGGTTGTTTAAACTCTTCATAATCTGTACTGGATTTGGCTCTGGAAGTAAACCCTTTCGATTATTGCGCATCTTAAATGAACACAGAAATAAGCAACATTAAAACCAAGATAAATGCAAAAGATATCATTTGTTTAATCCTTGTTTGGGGAATAACCATATGTCTAAATTTACAAATCAAATCTTCCATATTTACATTAAAAAATAGGCTCCTTTATGGTATCCATTGGTTATACGATTCAATCCCAACTTAAAAATAACGATATTTTTGAATTACAGTTCTATGGGACCTCCTACTATGCAACATTTCAAGACCACCATAAGATGGACCAAGTGCTTACAAAGAAACATTTGTGGTATTATCAATTTAATAGACAGACTCTCATCATAAAACTAATAAACGTTAAAATGACAGAGGCATAAAAGAAATCAGAATGTCCTATCAGAAACAGCTCTCTCTGGCCCGATCGGAATACCCTAGCAATAAGGAGACTGCTCTTGGGGTCACAGAATTTCAGTAGCTCAGAGTTGGGGGGGGGGAGCCTCGGTGTTCATCTTGTCCACACTGTCCCTGAACAAGAATTCCCACTACGCTATCCTCAATGAGTGCAGGGTCATCCAGACTCCGCTTGAAAACTCCAGTGAGGGGGAACCCAGAACACCTTTCTAGGCACTCTGGGACAGCTTGGAGCTTAAGGAAGTTTTTCCTTGCATCAAACTAACTTCGCTTCTTTATAACATCCACATTGGCCTACGGGGCCAAGCAACAGAAGTCTAATCTTTCTTCCACAGGACATCTTATGTAACTGAAGACAACTGTCATGGCCTCTCTCACCCCCATGCCTTCTCTTCTTCAGGTTAAAGAGACTCCATTACTCTATTAGACCCACATATTACCTAAATTAGAGGAGCTTTATCACCCCAGCTGCCCTTCTCTGGATGTTACCAGTGCCTTTCCTAACAAGAAAGGTCTTGAACAAAACACCCTAAGTACTCTGGTTGTACTCAGGCCTGGGCTCCAGATGGATGTTGACCCACGAATGGTCTCTATCTGGGCCTGTCCTTCAGCCAGATCCAAAGACATCTTCCTGTATGTCTCCATTTTAACTATGAGTAGTCCAAGAGAGACTGTCAAACACCTTGCTGAAGACACTAGCATTTCCCCTGACCTAATGTGGAAAGGTGAGGTTAATGTGGCGTGACTTGCACCCTGGCTTTCTCTGATCACTGCCTCCCTTTCTAAATGCTCACAAACCATCCCCTTAATCACGTGTGCCAGAATTGTTCCAGGAAGTGAAGTGAAGCTACAAGCACGTTATTAAACAATATCTTCTTTCCACTGCCAGATTTCTGGATTGATTGAAGAAATCATCATTTAGTTAATTACTTATTCCCCTCCTCCCCAAAAAAGTACTTCTTCAAAAGCTTGTGACAGAAGAAATTTATGGAATCATTTCCCCATCATTGAAAGGTGATTTACTATATTTTTGAGTCATGGTAGTCTGATAGATCCTTTAAAGAATGAGAGTGGCCAACCTAAACCTCTTAAGATTGATGGGCAGTACTTGAAATAAAGATAAAGGAAAAAATCCCTGCACGAGTTATTACCTTGAGACTGTGATTATGCTTTTGGAAAGATCTAAAATAATATTACAACATAGGAAAATGCAAATGATGATGGTGACGGTGCTGATAGCTGGTATTTACAGAAATCAGGGAGGCAGTTTGTCTAGTAGATAGTCCTGGACTTGTAGTCAGAAGATCTGAGTTAGAATCCTGCCTCAGACACTTCCTCGCCACATGATCCTGGGCAAGTCATTTAACTTTTCTTAGTCTCAGTTTCCATATCTGTAAAATGGGGATAATAACAGCACCTACCTCCCAGCATTGTTTATAATACATGTAAAGCCCTTTGCAAACCTTAAAGTGCTGTAAAATTATTACTGTTATTATTGTTGTTGTTGTTCAATCAAATAAAATGAATGAATGAGAAGACTTTAGACACAACGATCAATTATCTTGGATAGAAGAAACTGAGACAAACACTCAATTAGCTACATTGCGATCTGGAAGAAGCAGTTTTTTTTTTCATTTTTGAGAAATTTTCTGTATTTTCAAAGTCAATATTCCTTACCATTCTTTGCGCAGCGATCAGCGCTGCTAATGTACTTCTTCCAGATGCTCCAGGGGCGCAGAAGGACACCTGGACCTGGTTTCCCTTGATCGTCATCCCATCAGCTGCCTGCTGAACGTCCTCAGCGTGTTCTGCAGTGTCATATTCAACTACAGCAAACCCGCCTGCATAGTTCCCTTCATCCTGTGCCAACTGAGGTAATACACATTTCATTTGCAAAGAGTTAACTGAGAATTGCTTGGAAATATTTGCTTACAAAATTCACCTGGTGTAAAAGATATTTTTACATTTTTCAAGGACAAACTGATTGTAGGTTACAATGCTGATCAACTGAGCAAGTCATTGTGGGTACCATGTTGCACGTGAGTCATTCTAAAGGCTGTGTGTGGCCAGGGGTGGAGATACTCTCTGGAGAAAGGGAGAAGACAGAGACTGCAAGAGGGACAAATGGGCACCTCCAAGACATGAAACCCAAAGAAGGCATCCAACATATTGGTATGGATCCACAAGAGAGTCTTTATAGAAAAACATGGACAAGAATTGTACAGAGTGAGAAGATGTGGGAGGTTTTCAATTTGTATCAGGAAGGCTGAAGAGCAAGAAACAGAAGATGCAAAGAGAAAAACAGAGGTCTGTAGTAAGGAAAATGTCCCTAATGACTATTTCCAAGATGAAACGGTCTGCTTCAGGAAGTAGGAGATTCCACCGTCATTGGAGATCTACAAGCAAAGAGAAGGGGGAAGGGAATAAGCATATATTAAGTGCCTTCTATGTGACAGGGCACTGCGCTAAGCACTTTATGAATATAATTTTATTTGAGAGATAAGCTAGATAACCATTTATTATTCTATATGTGATAGAAGGAATTCTTTTTCAGGTATTACTAGAAAGCTAATGAGACTCCTTCCAACTCTGGGACTGTGCCGTAGTGGGAGGATATCCATAGGCAGGCAGGCAGTCCAACAGGTAGAGTGCTGAGCTTGGAGTCAGGAAGACCTGAATTTGAATCCTGCCTCAGACACTTGCCAGCTAGTTGGTCCTGGGCAAGTCAACCTCTCTCAGCCTCAGTTTCCTCATTTGTGAAGTGGGGATAACAAAAGCATCTACCTCACAGGACTGTTGTGGGAATCAAATGAGATAACATTTGGAAAGTGCTTTGTAAAATATTCTGTAAATACCAGCTATCAGCACCGTCACCATCATCATTTGCATTTTCCTATGTTGTAATATTATTTTAGATCTTTCCAAAAGCATAATCACAGTCTCAAGGTAATAACTCGTGCAGGGATTTTTTCCTTTATCTTTATTTCAAGTACTGCCCATCAATCTTAAGAGGTTTAGGTTGGCCACTCTCATTCTTTAAAGGATCTATCAGACTACCATGACTCAAAAATATAGTAAATCACCTTTTCAATGATGGGGAAATGATTCCATAAAGCAGGAGTGTCAAACTCTAGTAGAAACTGGGGGTCACTAAATGTACATAAAGATCTGTGGGCTGCCAAGTGAAAATATATTAACACAATCTAAGTCCTATTACATTTTGATTTTGTTAAACATCTCACAAAGGCATTTTAATCTGCTTAGAAAGAATGCGTGACACAAGTGCTGAAGAAGGGCTCAGACAGGATGATCGAATGCCCTTCTGCTTCTGTGTGTCTGTTTCAGTTGGTTTCATGGAAAGAAGGAAGGAGGAGGACGCCATCAACCTGGTTGTTGTTTTTTTCTTTTAATGTTATCTCTAGTATATCCATTGCCCAGATAGCTTGGTACTGGGCATCCATCAATCAACAAGCATTTACGGAGCACCCAAGCAGTATGTGCCAAGCAGTGTGGAAAGCACTGAGGAAACAAAGACAAGGAGAGAGGAGAAACCAAGGCAGGATCTTGATTCAAGTCCCACTTGGGACACATACTTGTTTCTGGGCTCTGGACTATAATCACTTCTACTGTTTGTGTGCTAGGCACTTCTCTAGGACCAGAAGTCACAGAGGGGTGATGACCTACACTGGTGGAGGGAATTTCCTCATCTGAATTTCCATATACTAACGAAATTAGAAGTTTAGGGAGGAGGGAGGGAGGGAGGGAAAGGGGGAGGGGGAGGAAGGAAGAAAGGAAGGGAAGAAGGAAGGAGGGAAGGAAGGAATTACATTCAATAAATGTCATTTTTAAAACTTTGTTAGATGAACGTATGTTAAGTCAAAAGTGCATTTACCCTGGGGATTTGTTTTGGTATGTCTTGGTTTCATTCTATGAACTTCTACCAAAGTCTTATTCCAATGTCTCACTGGAATGTGGAGGTAACCCTTATTTCTAAAAGCTATACCAGTGGAGTACAAATTTGGGCAGATCCTACGTGCTAATCAGCCTTCAATTACAAACTAGTGAAGAAGTGTGTATCTGCTGTTTCAGAACCAGATCAGCTAAGTTCAAAGGGGCTTACTATTAATTTGTCCTCAGGGGGTTAAATAATTTAACCATGGGAACACTCAAAGGTTAGTATCTAAGGAGTTGCATGAAGGTTGCATTCTGGCCAAGTGCCCACACTGAGGAAATTACGAATCCTTCCAGTACCAATATATTTTTTATGAACAGGGTAACATTTTTTAAAAAACAAACATCAAAAGAGAACTAATTATTTTGCCATTAACTTAAAGCCTGGCATGGCTTGGTGAGGGTGTTCTTAAATACCAGCAGAAAGAATATCTAATGTGCATTTCCTACTTATTTACCAGAAATAAGTTATTTGACAAAAATAAGAAATATTTTTTAGAGTTTCTTGAGTTAGCTGTTTATCAAACCTCCAGTGAAAATTAGAGGCTTAATTTTTCTATGGAATAGACCATTTTCATTTTCAGGAGATTTATTGATATGCTTCGCTCAACTAGATTTGCCGAGAGCAGATTTTAAATGATTTAAAAGGCACTTCTCTCTTGTGAATAACAGTAGAAAAGAGCCATTTTCAAATGCCACAGACGCAAAGGTCTTCAGCCACAGCCTAAGGAAGGAGCAGAAAAAAAGAAAGTCTGAAGTTGCCAGTGTCATTCCCAATGATTGAACCTGTGTGTACCTATCATCAACGGCTCTGTCTCCATAACTGAGAAAGCTTTCAAACTTAGGATCTTGAAGGGTACCTACCTGACCAAACACAGGCTTATGACTAAAGGAGAAAATCTGCAAGAGCTCTTGGGAGTCGGTGAAGTCTCTGGGGAGTTTATCGATGCATAGGCACTTAGAATGAATGAGATCGGTGGCCAGCTGATTCACATCCATCCACTGTGCAAAGAGAGTGAAACCTCCTAACTGTTTACCCAACAGTTCTGACCTAGCCTTAGCGGCAGAGTCTTTTTTCATGTACTCCACAAAGCCATAGCCCTTAGAATGGCCGGTGATTTCGTTGTAGACCAAAAAGCACCTCTCAATATTGCCAAATGTCCGGACCAGTTCCTCAAATTCTTCTATTGTAAAAGAAGGGGGCAGGTTGGTGATGCAGAGCAAAGCATCCGTGGGCTGCAGCTGAACAGTTATCTCCTTTCCACGAAGAGAATATTGGTGAAATGTCTGGATGGCATTTTGGGCTTGTTCCCCATCCAATAAGGTAACAAAGGCTGAAAGAGACAATTCAATAAGCATTTATTAAGTGCCTACTACATGCCAGGCATTGTGCTAACAGAGGCAAGTCTCAACAGTTTGCAGGCTGCTCTTTTCATCTTAATTAACGGATCTCCAATTTAGTGAGCTCACAGGATCACAGTCGTACAGTTCCAGAGGTAGAAGGGCCTTCAGAAGCTGTCTAGTCTAACCCCCTCATTGGACACATGAGGACACTGAAGCCTACAGAGATGAAGCAACTGGACCAGAGTCACACGGGTGATGAGCGTCAGGGAAGAGAGTTGGACCCAGGTCCTCTGACTCCAGAAGCAGTGCCCCTCCTACAACAAAATAACACAGAGCCTCTGCTGTGGCCAAATTGTGAATTAAAGGTTCTATGGTGGAGAATCCCTTGGCATCTTTGTTTTATGATGAGAAGCTATGTACTTTCTTCTAGTTGCCCCTAGCCCTATAGGGACATCTGAGGTAGGTTTTGGGGTGGTGGTGGTGGTTTTGAGGAGGTCTGTTGGTATAGAACATAGTTAATGCTTTCAAAAACTCTATAAAGAACCTAGAGTATAAAACCACCTACTCTTCTCAAAGTTCTCCCCTAGATGGCAGAGGGCTTCCCCATCCCCAAAATTTGCAGAAATAATCTGACCCTTCTCTGTGCTAATTTGGACCACACCCTAAACTGCAGTCTAAAAATTGGCTCCCGATCATATGGAAGCTTTAGATTCAAAAATAATAAGATAACCATTATCATCAAAAATACTATTATAATAATTTTCTTGTAATTGTTTCAGATTGGCGATTTTACCAGTTTAAGGGACTCATAAAAAGGAAATTCATTCTACCAATGTAGAGCAGCAAGAAGTAACTGATTTGTCCAGGGTCCCACAGTCAGTGTCAGACTTTTTTGTTATTCAATTGTTTTCAGTTGTGTCTGACTCTGTCACCCCATTTGGGGTTTTCTTGGCAGATATACTGGAATGGCTTGCCATTTCCTTCTCCACCTCATTTTTACAGATGAGGAACTGAGGCAAACAAGGTTCAGTGACTTGCCCAGGGTCATACAGCTAGTGTCTGAGGCTGGATTTGAACTCATGAAGATGAGTTTTCCCAATTCCAATCCATTGGACCACCTAACGGAGGGCCTTCAACTGAGGGATTTCCATAGGGGCAACTCAGTGAATACAGCCTTAGATTTGGAGTCAAAAAGGTCTGAATTCAAATTCTGACTCAAGCAGTTATTAGCTGTGTGACCTCAGTTTCCTCATCTGGAAAATGTAGATAATAATAGCATCTACTACACAAGGTTGTTATGAAGATAAAATGAGTTAACATATTTAAAATGATTTGCAAACCTGTAACTGCTAGATCTTATTTACCAGAAATAAGTTACTCGACAAAAATGAAAAATGTTCCTTAGAGATTCCATAAAGGTTTGATTTTTTTTTTTAAATGGAATCAACCATTTCATTTTACGGAGTTTTCCTGACATCTGCTTCACTGGATTTGCTGAGACACTCATCCTCCTAGATGTCTGATGTAACTGAGTCTGAAAAAGAGTGCATCAGAACAGTCTGTATTTATCGTGTTCTTCCTCTAATATTCATCAGGTTTCATTTTAAAATGCTCATTAAAGAGGCAGAATTGTTTTCTCCTCGGCTAGCAGATCTCAATTCAAAATACCAGATTTTCTGTCTCAGAAGGCACATTTCTTTCTAACACAAAGGAACGCTCTTTACACTACTTCATGCTGCCTCTGTGACACTTTATGCATTGGAATCAATAGTTTTAAATGTTAATAATAAAAAAGAAATTTAGTGGCTTAATATATATTGCTACTCAATGCTACATTTTTAATAAAACATTAAAACAAAACAGAAGCTGTTTAGTAGCCACATGGATAAGAACCAGTTAATCAAACACAGCTACCTGGGTGCCCTCTAAGAGTTTAAGGTCTAACCAATCCTCAGTAAGCTCAAAATAGGTAACTAATTTATTAAAGGTCACATTTAAAAAAAACTGAAAAAAAAATAAGAAAAGCCTTTTCCCACCTATGAATAAGGAAAAGGGTGATCATAAAAGATAAAACAGATCATTTTAGCTACCTGAAATTTAAAATCTTTTGAATGAATAAAATCAATGTAACTAGGATGAGAAAGGAAGTTGTCAATTGTGGGCAGGAAATTATTGCATCAAATATCTCCAATAAAGACCTGATTTCTAGGATATGTGGGGAAGACACAGATATATAAAGCCAAAAGTCATATCCCAGTATATAAATCGTCAAAGCATACAAACAGTTCTCAAAAAGAGAATTTCAAGCTTTATGCAATTATACGAAGGACTGCTTTAAGTCACTGATGGTAAGAGAAATAAGTGCAAATCAAAATGTTGAGGTTTCATCTCACAACCCAGCAAACTAGCATAGACGGCAAATGATGGGAATAGTCAAAGGGGCTGGGGCAAGACGCCATATTGGTGGAACTGTGAATTGATCCAACCATTCTAGCAAGCAATTTGGAACTATGTTAAGAAAGTGACTAAAATGCTCATATCTTTCTTTCTTTCCCTCCTCCTCCTCCTCCTCCTGGTCAGTGCTCTACCCACTGTGCCACCTAACTGCCCCTAAAATGCTCATATTTTTAAAAATTCTTTTAACCAACGAGGCATACCACAGAAGTCAAAGATAGAAAGGTCCTATATACATCAAAATACAACAGCACTTTTTGTGGTAGCAAAAAACTGGAAACAAAATGGATTCCCATCCTTTGAGGAATGTCTAAAGAAACTGACATATGAGTGTAATGAGATATTACATCATAAAAAACAGTGAATCTGCAGAATACAGATAGGCATAGGGATAGGGAGGGAATTAGATCTCAATGAGGAAATTCCCTCTATCAATGAACTTTCTTGCCAACTCTTGGCCTTAGAGAGCTGCCTGAAACACTAGTAGCAAGTGACCTACCCCAACTTCACAAAGCCAATACGTTTAAAAGGTAAGTCTTGAACGCAGGTCTTCCTGACTTCAAGGCCATCTCCAATCCTAGTCTACTTTGTCTTTCTTCCATGGGCAGGTATGAGAAAATTTAAATGAACAGATGAAAAATGAAGTAAGAGCCAGAATACAATAGAATAATTACACAATGTAAATGGAAAAGAAGCAAAATAGAAAAATGGAACCATGTATACATCAAGCTTGGCCCCAAAGAGATGAGATGAAAATAGGTCTATGCATATGGAATATTGTAGATACCATCTCATTTTGTTCATCAGATTGGTTTTCTAAAAACTATTCCCCCAACCTCTTTACTCTTTGTTACGAGGGATGATTTTCTGTGTAAAGAGATACAGAGGGATATAGTTGAAAATGAAGGTGATGAAAAAGCAAGGTATCAATAAATGTTTTGAAATTTTGTGGTCCAAAACAAATTATAACCACAATAGAAAAGATATTAATAAAATTAAATGATGTTTACATTGTTACCTATTACAAACTTTGAAATTTAAAAAAAAATTTTTTGATAATATATAATACACTTAAAATGTACCAATTATAAAGTAATATTTCAGAATAGATATCAGTATTTCAAAACAAAATTATCCTTTTCATTTAATCTGAAGATTACCTTCTGGAGAAAATCCAAGGAAAGAGATCTGCTAGCCGAGGGGAAAACAATTCTGTCTCTTTCATAAGCATTTTAAAATAAAGCCTGATGAATATTAGAGGAAGAACACCACAAATACAGACTATTCTGACGTGCTTTTGTTCAGACTCAGTTACATCAGGCATCTAGGAGGATGGGTGGCTCAGTGGATAAAGTGCTAGGCCTGGCTTCAGGAAAACCTGAGTTCACATCTAGCTTTAGACACTTGCCAGCTGTGTGAGCCTGGACAAGTCATTTCACCTTTGTCTGCTTCAGGTTCCTCATCTGAAAAATGGGGAGAATAATGGCACCTACCTCCAAAGGCTGTTGTGAAGATCAAGAGATAATACTTACAAAGTGCTTCGCAAACCTTAAGGTGCTCTATAAATGCTACCTAATTTTTTTATTAATTTATTTTGATTTATCAACAATCACTTCCATATGCTTTTGAGTTTAAAATTTTTGTCCCCCTTCCTCCCCATCACCCTGCCCAAGATGGCGCCCAATCTGATATAGGCTATACATATACATTACTATTAAACATTATTTTCACATTAGTGATGTTGTAAGTAAGAATTAGAACCAATAGGAGGAATCACCAGAAAGAGGAAACAAAACTCAATAGAAGAAAAAAAATAGCAAATAGTATGCTTCGATCTGCATTCAAACTCCATAGTTCTTTCTTTGAATGCGGATTATAAATGCTACCTATTATTATAAGGGGGCAACTAGGTGGTGCAGATAGAGTGCTAGGTCTGGAGTTCAAATCTGGCCTCAGATACTTACTAGCTGTGTGAACCTGTGCAGGTCACTTCACCATGTTTGCCTCAGTTTCCTCATCAGTAAAATGAGCTGGAGAAGGAAACAGCAAACCATTCCAGTATCTTTGCCAAGAAAACCCCAAATGGGGTCACAAAGAGTTGGATATTATTGAAAACAACTGAACAACAACATTAATATAAGAGAGTACCAAGCGGATGGACTCAAGTCATCTGGTTTGAGTGAACCACACCCTTCCATAATCAAAGAACTGGTGAATAGGATTGCTAATCATTGTCAATGATGTCAGAAAAATTGTGGCAAATAGATGAAGAAGCACAAAACTAGAGAAAGACAAATCGCCAGTTAAAAAAAAAAAGAAGTGGGAGGAAAGAATGCAATCCACCAACTCCAG